ATGTCTCTACACTAATGCTAGGAGCATGGGGAACAAGCAGAAGGAACTTGCACTCCTGCTTGCAAACAACAATTTCAACCTGGTTGGGCTAACTGAAACCTGGTAGGACCCTACTCACATTTGGGTGGTAGGCATTGAAGGTTATAGGTTGCACAGATGGGATAAAGTAGGGAAAAGGCAGGTGGGGGGGATGTTGCTCTTTATGTTAAGGACTGATATACATCTTCTATAATCAATATGGAATCAGAGGAAGGCCAAACTGAGGTACGGTGGGTTAGGATACAAGGGGGTTGAGGGGAAAGGGACTTGGCAGTGGGGGTCTATTGTAGACCACCACACCAGGAAGATGAGCTAGACCAGGAATTCTCCAGACAGCTCTCAGAGGCCGTACAGTCAAGAGATATGGTTGTCATGGGTGACCTAAACTACCCTGACATCTGCTGGGAGGATCAGTTAGCCAGAACTAAACTCACGTAGGTTCTTAAACTGCATACCAGACCTCCACCTGATGCAGGAGGTATACTATCCCACTAGGGGGAACGCCTTGCAGGACTTGGTGCTGGCTACAGGGGATGACTTAGTGGAGGATCTGCAGGTACAAGGCAACCTAGGGGACAGTGACCATCAATTGATTGAATCACTATCCGGCAAAGGGTGGGAAGAGTAACAGCAGGGCAGAAGTGCTAGTCTTTAGAAAGGCTGACTTCAGGAGGCTTATGAGATTAGTTAGTGGGGCATTAAAGCTCAAGAGCATTGACAGAATGGGGGTCAAGGAAGGGTGGTCCAAGGAAACGATCCTTCGGGCACAGAAGAAGGCAATCCCACTGCATAGAAAAGGAGGCAAAGGGGCTAAGAAACCCTCCTGGCTAAGCAGGGAAATACAGGAAAGCCTAAGGGAAAAAAAGGGGCATACAGGCTGTGGAGGCAGGGGGTAGCTGCCAAGGAGGAGTATACCTCCTTGACTCGCACTTGCAGGGAATCAGTCAGGAAGGCCAAAGCAGCATTAGAACTCAGGCTAGCAACAAAGATTAAGGGCATCAAAAAGTCCTTCTTCAGGTATATAGGGAGCAAAAAGAAGGTGCAGGGAAGCATAGGACCCCTACAGGATAGACAAGGGCAGCTGGTGACAGATAGGAGGGACAAAGCAGAGCTCTTCAATGAGTTTCCCCAGCACCTTTTCCTGCCACTGGTAGGGGGTCGGACTCAATGATCCTTTGAGGTCCCTTCCAACCCTAACAACTATGAATCTATGAAAACTGCAGTTATATAGCTACACAGGTGCATGATGGGTAAAGAGGATTTGTCCCTGAAGTGACATGAAGCAGAGAAGAACTGATTTCCTGGCCCCAGCCCCATGATGATCCACCCAACCATCCCACTTCTCACGTAAATCATTGCTGCTGTCTCCTGAAATATGAAGGATTTGAGTGGAATACTGAGCAAGATCAATATTTCAAGTTATTAATTTGTTTAAGAAGCCAGTTAATAGACTTTCCAATTGTTATTTAATACCACTAATGAGGGAGTTTTCTGTCTTAACATGATAATGTATAACAGCAGGATCATCAAACATTTTCTGCTAGTTAACTAGTGTCAGGACACTTTTCTGTTAATTAAGTAATAAGTGAATTCAGCAGCTATCTGCTGAAAAGGCTCTACTTGACCTTAAGTTAAAGAAAGATGCAGCTATCCAGAGCAAGCAGTACATAATAATTGAGGATAACTCTACTTCTATTCTGAGAACAGTACAGAGTACCTTGTAGCGATATCACATTAATTCTCCAAGTAGGTTTGGATGAGCTATTTTTTTTTTTTTTTTTTTACGGAAAGCCTTTTTCTGTACCTTGGTTATACCTTATCATAAAGTGTGCTAATTAGAAGTTATTGTGTAACCCTGGCATAATTTTACCACTACTTTAAAGATGTACAGGCTGCCTGGTTCTTCCAGAGGAGAGAGCTTCATAATTACAACTGAGCATACCTATTTTCTATACCTTAATCCTTTAAATATGTACTTTCAATGACTGAACAATAGAGAACAGTTAACTATACTAAAATTAGAATATAAGCATAATTAGTTATAAAGCAGAATCAGGGCATGTGGGGTTTTCGGCTGGAAAGAATTACATTTCCCCCCTTAAGATTTTATAAACCACTACTATACACACAACTTGTTTTCTCCAAGGACAAAGCTGGAACATTTTTCTTAGTTTCAGTTTTTCAGGAAAAAAATCTGTTTAAATTTCAACCAAAAGAACAGGAAACTTTTTTTTGCAAAAATATCCTCCTCCTTGTCCATGATCTGGTTAAAATTTCATTAAAAATATTTATATTTTAACAAAAAGGGGCACATTTTCTTCTCCATTTATGACCACCAATAGTAGTATTTTCTAGTCCTATATCTTAATATCACTTAGTCTAATTTCAACCCTGATAGACAGTCCCTTGGCACTGGCTGCCTAGTCTTCACTTTGAGCATCTTTGGTGACACATCCTTCTACGATCAACTTCATCACCTTGATTCCCTGCTGAATTTCACTTGACTTTAAGACTACATGTAGATTTCAAAAGGTGGATTTCAACTGATTCAAGGAAATAGTAGGCATGGTGTCAAGGGAAGACGAACTGAAAAACAAAGGCACCCAAGGAGGCCTGAAAGCTTTTGAAGGGCACAGTATTGAAAGCCCAACAAGAAACTGTTCCAACATGATGGAAACTCAAGAAGAGTGGTAGGAGAATAATGTAGCTGCATAAGGAGTTTCTAGGATGTTTCAAATGCAAAAGGAAAGAAAAGCATATAGGCAGTGGACAGATGAGCAGGTCACCAAGGAATCATACTGGGAAATTGCAAGAGCCTGCAGAGACAAAAATCAGGAAAGGCAAAGGTAAAAGATGAGCTCCACTTAGTGAGGGAGGTTAAGGACAACAAAAAGAGCTTCTATAAGTATGTTGGCCAAAAAAGAAAGATCAAGGAAGCTGTGGGTCCACTATTAAATAGCCAAGGAAAACTCCTAACAAAAGATGTAAAGAAGGTGGAGCTACTCAACAGCTGCTTTCCCTGGTTTTCACAAAAAAGGTAAACTGCAGCCAGACACCTAATAAGAATTAGTTTGGATAAAGATTGGGAGAAGTTGAGGGATGAGATAACAAAAAAAGTGCTAGTTCAAAAACTTTTATGGATCTAAATAAGTTCAAGTCAACAGGGCCTGATAAACTTCATCCCAAAGTACTGAAAGAACTGATAGAGGAAATTTTGGAGCCCTTGGCAATAATATTTATGAAGTCGTGGGAGATGGGCAAGGTACCAGAGGACTGGAAAAGAGTCACTGTAGTGCCTCTCTAAAAAATGGCAAAAGGGTATATCCGGGGAACTGTAAACCAGTTAGCCTCACCACAATACCTGGCAATTTACTGAAGCATGGGTCCATGGCTGATGCCCCTGGCAGGTTCTGGATCAAGGCTCTGGGTGTGAGCTTCCACTGCACTGGGAGGGAAGCAGGTCAGTTGTGGATGCCACCAGAAAGTTTTGCATCTGCGCTCCTGAACCTGCCCACCGCACCACAGCTGATGCTGCCACCCACCTGCCGTGGTGGAAGTCCTGCCTGGGTCCACAGCTGATGACTGGGCAAAAGTAGTCTTACCCATCTACCCAGCACCACACAACAGTTAGAGCCACCGGCTGCCCACAAGCTAGATCCAATGAGTTGGCAGCTGTCCACCGGTGGGCCAGATTAAACCTGTTGGAGGGCCGGATTCAGTCTGTGAGCCGTATTTTGCCCATCCAATTTAGATGCTGGAATTGGGAAATGTTTGAGCAAATCTGCAGACAACATGAAACTTAAAAGGACTGTGAACATGGTGGAGGACAGGAGTGCAATTTAGAAGGATCTGGACAGACTGGAAAGCTGGGCTGGAGCTAACAGGATGAAGTTCAATGCTGACAAACACAAGGTGCTACACTTACGGAAGAATAATTAAAAATACAAGATAGCTGACACTTGGCTGGATGGCAGCAGCACTTCAGAAAGAATCTAGGAGTCTTGATGGATCACAGGTTCAATAGGATTCTGAAGTATGAAGTTGCAGCAAAGTAGGTTTAGACTGGATAAATGGAAAATCTTCTTCATTGTTAGAACAGTGAGGCAGTGGAACAGACTGCCCAGAGAAGTAGTGGAGTCTCCATTATTGAAGATGTTCAAGAGGAGGCTGGACAAATACTGGTCAGGGTTGATCTAGGAGCAGCTATACTAATACGCTCCTTTGAATACTTCCTATGCTTCTGGGCTTTGCTTATTGATGCATGGGACTGGGAAGGAATTTTTTTCCCTTCTGCCGCTCAAGTGTCCAGGGAAAGGGGGAGGGGCAGAGTTTGCTCTCCTCAGAGGGTGGTCTTGGTTGCAGCCAACGCTGAAGATTTTGACTGGGGTGTGCCAGCACACCTCCTGGGAATTAAATCCAGAGGTTCCTGACTACAGGGTCTCCCTGCTTTGCTTATGTACAGACTGTTATATTTGGAGCCAGGAAGAAATGGGATGATTTGCATATGGATGATCCTGCCTCAGGCAAAGGGTTGGAATAGATAACCTCTCAAGGTTTCTTCCAGACCTACTTTTCTATGATTCTATGAAACATCCGCATGCAACTATAAAATATATAGCAACCCATGCACCTTCAGTCCAGAAATCTAAGCACTTGCTACTACATTTATAAGATTATGGGGTATATTGTCAGCTGAGGCCTGCCTTTCCTTTTTTGCACTTTTAAAATGAATTTGGGCATCAAGCTGACTACTTCTGCTTCTATCTCCATGATTTGCTCATGAAAATCAGTGGCCAGGAACTGAAATTTTTACACCCAGATCAATGACGAGTATAAAAATGTTTGCCCAAATTGGACAGATGACACTATTCTACAAAAGGAAAGCCAAATAATGTTGGCTTCTAAAAATAATTTATTACATTATATTGATTTAATTTGATCAAAGGCAAGTTGGTCCTTACATGTGACAACATTTCTTTTCCCACTGGCTGCCCTCTGGGTGATGATGGCATATGCTGAGAAGATGGTGTCAGCTGCATCTCATCCATTTCCTTCTCTGAAGACACATTCTCATCTTCTTCTGTCCATTTGCTTAACTGTTTCTCAAGCGACCTATCCAAAAGCTGGGGTAGGTGATCTTCTTCAATTGATATGATTCTCTGGAGATGTTTACCTTGAGTCATTTCTCCAGTACAGTGGTCAGACTCTACAGAAATATATCCATTCAAGCCAACAGAATTCCTTCTTCTTGTGGAGTTACTGAAAACATCTTCTTCTTCAATGGACTGGCTAGATAAAAATCAGGAAGAATCCTGTTATAAAATAACCTTATTCTTGACTTTTATTTAATTTACACTGATCTAATGCTATCCAATGGTGTTACTTTTGACTTAAAATTAGCACAGCTGAGTTATTATCAGGTCCTTATACTCTTTATTATTCAGATTTAGACTGCCCCAGTTAGTTGACTGTTAAAAAGTAAGTCCAACATTCAGTGTGTATTTTTATAGCATATGTAATAAATTATAGACAGACAGACATGTATGTATGTATTGTACTGATAGATAAGCCATACAGAACACAATACTACAATATTCATGAGGAATGGTTTGTTTTGGGGGAAGAAGGTTATTATTAAATACAAATTTCACATCATCCCTAACCTATCAGCATAGTCATTGCAAGCTTCCCAGGTTACTCTTTTAAAAAGGACAAAAACCACATACTGTCTGCATGTAACCAAATTCTCACTTCCGTAGGAAGGGCCCTACCATTGCTAGTACAGTTCCATTGAAATCTATGGAGTTGCGCCACTTCATACCAAATGAAGTTTGGCTCTCCATATCTGAACTGTGTTTAATTTTAAAAATGCTTCAGGAAACTAAAACACCCACACAGTACTCTTCTGAGGACCTTGTGCTTGCACCTACCCAATGGATAACTTCCTACTATTCTTCCCAGATTCTTTGCCAAAAAGAAACTTATCAATGAATTACTTTGCTTAGGTTACTTTCATGTTTATGATCACATCATTAAGATTTAAGTCTTCTGCATCTTTTCTATGCCATGTGCTTATATGTTATAGCTGGCCAGCAGTAACAGGTGGTGCAGAAATGCCTCTGTTCAGAATGTCAGGAGGTACCATACCACATTCCTGTCATTCTAAGTAACACCAGCTACTAAACCAGCTTTCCTCCTGGAAGCTTAAAGGTGGCCCTGAACCTCCTTTTCCTCAACTGAGATTGGACTGACCATATCATACCTTCTAGGCTTTTATTTCTAAATTACTGAAGAACATCCAGTTATTACACTTGTGGAACTGTTATGCATACATGCAATATCAATATTAGACTAGCTATTCCAAGTTGCAGTGGTTTTGAGCACAATCAAGCTGAAATAAGTACTGTATCTCTTCCCTGTGCAATCCCATGATTGTCAGGTACATCCCAAATAGAAAAATTATGTTCTTACCTTTTAGACAGTACCTTTCCCTCTACATATTTCCCAATGACAGATCCAGATCTTTGCTTCCAGTTGGCATTTGGAGTACTTGTTTTATATTTCTGCAGAAATATATTACATCTCTTACTGACTTATCCATGCTATTCATTAAGGGTAACAAAATAGTGGCTTCATTACTAGCATTTTGGTAACACGATAATGGGCATAACAGAAGAATCTTTGATGGATTAGCTGAGAGGCAACTTGTTTCAAAAGCCTGATTGGTAAACAAGCAGAATGTGGAAACTCCACCTACAACAAGATTAATCTTCTGTTCAGATTAAGTAGAGCAGGTCATAAAACAGGATAAAAATCAGCAGAACTCCTCTGAAATTAATTAGAGCATTTTACATCAGCTGAGGATGTGCCTCTCCATGGCTTCTTATCCAGATAGAAAACAGGTAACCTGTGCAAATGAGTGGACATCCTGATTCTGAATTATTTGTATTCAATAAAAAGAAGCCAGGGTACCTCTACAGCCCCAAAGAAAGCTTCTACTGCAGGATAAACAGTCAACAGGATTTATTTGTATCCAATGGTAGGATGTTAGAACACTTAAAGCACAATTATGTTTACTAGGTACTCAGATACTGTACCGATGGATAACTGTTTCATGAGATTAGCTACTGTTGACTGAACAGATGAAATTAATTGAATTTTAATGGTTTCATTTGAAGATTCTCTCATTCCCTCATGGTTGCTTTCTTAGCTTCTTACAAATTCAGGTAATCATCCTCCCAAAAGACAGCATGAATTTTAGAAAGCTATATATGCGACTTTTTATTAGATTTAGTGAATATATTTTGTTGCCTTAAATCTTGATTTTAACTGGAAAAGGAGCTATAATGAGAGGGGAATAGAACACCACAAGAATCTGTCCCCTCTGCAATGCTCTGAGACGTGGCATTGCAGGTGACGTCCACCTGCTCCTTATTTGCTGACCGCAGAGTTAGGAAATGGTATTTGTTTACCTGTAAGCACATGTCACGTTCATCTTTCAAATGCTTGTTCCTTTCTCTGCAAGGAAAACATATAAGTAAAGAAGCAGCAGGCTACAGCAGAAATTTTGAACCTCAGAATTTGTGCTCACTTCACTATTCAGCACCAGATACTGATTGTTTAGGCAAAAGACTATAGAAAGGCCAATCCAAAAATCTTTCACTCTTGCATATCTACATCTTTGACTGACTCATCTATGCTCTCACAGGACCAGATCTCTGGCTGATGTAAATCTTCATTAAGGCTTAGAGGATTAAAACTGACTAGCATCTGATTTAAATGCTTTAACACAAGGAAACTGACTCTAGACCATATTTTTTCCTTTACTGTACATGGAAAGGTTTCAGACATTTTCATAGTCAGGACCAATTTTTAGTGAAGATTTTGGTGAATACCTTCCAATCACAGTTGTGTAAACCATTCACAACCACATAACATCCCTGTAACATCTGTCCTGGTAGACTATCATTAAGAAAGTATTCTGTACAGTTTTTAGCTCCTATTAAGGCCTTTTAGCAGCTAGAAATGTGTAGTAAAAGGAAGCATCTAATTTGCACGGTCAGCCAACAGCAGACTTCAAATTCCAGTTTGAGAGCCTGCAGTGTAATTAATTGTAAAACTATCGTAAACATTTTAAAAATGAATAATGGATGAGAGTTGTCTGAGAGCATGTATAACTGACCTGTGCAAACTGAATAACTTTGTGACCAAAACAATGAGATAATATTTAAATAAAGGATGTTAGTGCACATTAAAAAGTAGTGTTGAAAGTTGCCCAGAAATAGCTTCAAATACTAGTTAACCAATCAAAACAACAGGCAAAGAATTAGCCAGATATGTTTTGACATATTTTTACTAAAAGACTTGCTAGCAAAGAGTCTCAATTTTGGATGAGCTGCACTCAATGGAGGTATGATAGGTCAAAGGGGCTTCAAGTCACCATTCAGCTTCCTGAACCCTGCCCACTACATAAGCTAGACCAGCCTCATAGCTGTTTTATACCTGGCAACAATAGCCTTCTTTCTAGAACCTGCATCACAGCATAAACACCCACCTTCTTCTGACATATCCTCTAGCCTGGGCCTTGGCAGCAATGCAGCAAATGACACGGGAATATTTCTCTGACCCCAAACTACAAAGGAATCCCTTTCTTCTAGAGATAATACCCAGATGCCATGTCCAATAGGCCAGTGGGAGCCAACCTTTTTGGCAGGTATGTCACAAATTAGTCCTGAATCCTCCATGTCAGTCTGATCTCCTTCCCTTTCCTGATCTTCTGCTCTACTTTCTGCTCCTAGCCTTGTGTTTCCTGCCTAATCTGCTACTCTGCTTTCTGCTCCCTGTCCTACCTGCTGCAATGCTGCCTGACCCCTCCCTGATCTGGCACATACCACACACAGAGGCTGCCCCACTTGTGGCATGTGTGCTGCAGGTTGGCCATCCCTTCCATAGGCTATGGTTAACACTTCAAAGAATTTGCTCAGCTAGCTTAGAAAAAAAATACACACAGGTTATCACTGCAAAACTAAGAGGTTCTGCAAATCAAATGTGTATTACCTTAAGAAGTCCAGCTGTTTAAGGAGTCCTGACTTCTCTCTCTGTAAGCTTTCCGTCACTCTGTACACCTCCCTGAAACAAAGAAACATCTTTGTCCTGAACACGATAACACAGAACTGATGGAGTGCCTCCTGCAGCCCATAAAGAATGCCCCTTAAGACCTAAGTCTTGCAGTCCTTATTAATATATATACAGTATTTACTTTGACTATAAGGTACAAATCTACCCTGCCTTCTATCTGACGTAAGACTAACACATCTAACAATGTTTCTGAGTCCTTAGTATAGATTAAAGTATCACTGACCTCAAAAGAAGCATAGCCAGCATAAGGAACACAGAATCAGATTATGTTAAGGGGTTTTGTTTTCCTTTTGTTAAACTTAACTCTCCTACTGGTAGCTAATAACCAAGGGGTTAGAAGATGCATCTTCTTAAGACCTTCAGCCAGTCTACTACACTGTGGCACTGGAGCTCACGTTTCAGAGATTTAAACTCCTTGCCCTGAACAGTCAGAGACCAGATAATATCTCACAAGAATAGAGGTGTTACCCTTGCTGTCAGTTCAAGTAATTACTTCTCCCTTATTAAACAAGTTACTTCATTTTATTTCCTGTCCTAAACTAGTAGGCAACCATCAGTCCTTCTAGATCATGGTATATGTGAGTGGTCACCAGGACCTTCAATGCATATGCCTAAACAGGAGTATGGAGGAGTGGAGGCTGCCCAGATCTTCCATCCCCTTTTCAGAACATTAAGACAGAATCCAAAGGCCAGACTGAGTCTGGATTTCATAGACATTATTGCTGGAAGGGACCTCGGAAGATCATCGAGTCCAGCCCCCTGCCCAAGGGGCAGGAAGTCAGCTGGGGTCATAGGATCCCAGCAAGATAAGTATCCAAATTTCTCTTGAAAGCATTCCATGTGGGTGCTTGAACCACCTCTGATGGCAGACCTTGGGGGCTTGGACAGTAAAGAAATTCTTCTTTATGTCCAGCCTGAAACGATCTTGCTGGAGTTTATAACCGTTCGAACTTGTCATTCCTTGGGGCGCTCTGGTGAACAGTCATTCCCCCAGATCCTGATGTACACCCCTTATATAAGTATATAAGTCAGGCTGAACACCCCTGATAAACTTATAGGTGGCCATCAGATTGCCCCGAGCCTGCACTTTTCCAGGCTAAAGAGCCCCATAGCTCTCAGCCTGTCTTCATAAGGTCTGTTTTCCTGACTTCTGATCATGCACATGGCTCTTCTCTGGACTCTCTCAAGCTTCTCCACATCATTTTTGAATTGTGGAGCCCAAAACTGAATGCAATACTCCAGCTGAGGCCTCACCAAGGCTGAGTACAATGGGAGAATGACATCCCGGGATTTACTTGAGAAGCATCTATGGATGCAAGCCAGCGTTTTGCTTGCTTTACTAGCCGCTGCGTCACATTGAAAGCTCATGTTCATCTTGTGGTCAATCATGACCCCCAAGTCCTTGGATGTTTGGTGGCTCAATGGCTGTATTTATGTGTGTGTCCAGGAATTGAACCTGGGTCTCAGTCATGGCAAACAAGAATTCTACCACTGAATCACTGTGTACCTAAAACACACAGAGCCAGATCCTCAGAAAGAACACAACAGGTCTTTGACACTATGGATGCCTATTTGAAATCTATAGATTTCTCTTGTGAATCAAGAATAGGTATTTGCACATCTAATGCTGCTTATATTGAGCATCAACCTTGAAAGGATCACATGGCACCCTGGTTGAGAATCACTGGACTAGGCTATTAGGCATGACTACTATCATCATTGCTGTGCTTGAAAGTGTCTGCAGGGTTCTGTGCTTTGCACTGAATTCAATGGTGCCAAAAGCAATCAGGCATTAGCTGGGCCAAGTGAACAGCAAATAGATATGGAATTTTGGAAGAGTTTAGGTGCTTGCCAGTGCTGATTTGTATTGCAGTGAGGTTTAGGTGCGAGTTAAACACCCAGGTAAGCACACTTACATCACTTCTGAATGTGCTCAGAAGCCTAAGCATAGCCACTGAGGAAGCTCTTCAAACCAAAATGGAGATAGCTAATGATTCTAGTTGTCTAAACAGTTTGCAGCTGCCAGAGCAGGGTCAATCTGGATCCCTCTTTGGTGCTGAGATCCTTGCCACCAAGTTTACTTTTGGCTCCTACAAGGACATTTTGGATCTGACTTCAATGGGGCTGCAAAAAGTTACAGTGGCTGAAGATATGGCCAGAATATTCTGCTTTTAAATGGTGTAGGAAGTGCTACCCAAGCATGCGCCCAAGGCACACACTGCTCTGAACAGCCTGGCAGTGCCCTGCCGGCACTGGTCCTAGAGAGATACTGGGGACCATGCTGAATAGCACTCTAGCAGCAGGAGCTCGGCATGATCCAGATCCAGCTCCAAGTCTGTAAAGTGCTCTGAAATCAAAAGTAAATGTAAAGTTACTGTTCAACAGTTTAACCACAGGAATGGAAGACAGTTGAGGCACTGTGGAAATCTGTGCACTGTGGAATTACCCGGCAGCTGATTGCAACATGGACTCTGCTTTACAGCTGAGAAACAAGGGTCCCTGAAAAGGGAAGCACTTTTGTAAAGGGGGAAGGAGGTGTATGGGGAGGTGAGGGAGCGAACACTCCAAACTGTTTGCTTCAGTCCCTCGTCTGAAACATGAGGCAGCAATCAAAAATGCAGCATCCATTCCCCAGGAGGCATTAAAGCACCAATGACTGAAGTTCTGCTTATTCATGTCACCTGAGGATCAGGCCCTCATGATTTAAATGGGCTCAGTGCAGGGTGATTTTGTCCTGAAAGTGTTATTCATGCATTCAGGAAAGCTTTAATACTGGAATAAGGAGTATTCTGAAATGTTGCCTACTTCTGAATCACATTTGGGCTTAGCAGTATCCATACTATCTCTGATGGCTTTCGTGCATGTGTGTGAGTGAAAGTGCGCTTGATATAAAAGCTTGTGGAAAGGGAAAATGTGGGGTTCATGACTGATCTTCACCAAAGGCTATATTCTCAAGTCTCTGGGGAGTTCAGCTCTCAGCTGCTTCCACTGGGGCCCTTATAGCATCTTCAGATGCCTAAATAGGAGCCGAATGCTGAAAACCTGGCTCTAATTAGGAAAAATCTGCCCCTGTTAGGAAAATTACAGTTTAGGGGAACAATTCTGCTTATGCAGAGGGCCAGAGCAGATGTTTGTCACTTAGCCTCCATTTCTACCCACTGGTGATTGGAAATTATTTTTTTCCTCAGGACATTTTGAGTTGGGCCAAGAGAAAAAAAAAAAGACTACCCTGGAATCCAAAATATTTCAGCAAAAAGGTTTTGATTCTGAAATGCCAGCCTGGTGCTTCATGGGAGATGCAGTTCAGGTGGATCATGCTCCTATTCACTGCGATTGGCCAAGTGAGATAAACATCTCCCACGATGCATCGTGGTCTCCTCTTCTGATGTGAGGTGTTGCATCATGGCAGTCAGATAGCCACATGGTGCATTGTGGGCTGCAGTAGAGAACAGGTACCAGAGGCACCCAAACCACAATTTCTGTTTTCCAATGAAATATTTTAGGGGTCAGCAAAAAACAAAGTATGTTGTACTATGTGTGCGCAAGGGGAGTGGGAGGAGTGTGTGGACGCGTATGTGCCGGGGGGGGGGGAATAACACTGTCAATTTTAACGTTGGAAAATTGTTTCAGAAAATATTTGGCTAGCCCTACTAACATATGCCTTTGCATGGAATTAAAGGGTGCACAGGCTCTGTACTAGCCCTCTACAGGCAATAATATTTGCAGTCAAGACAATCAGGAAACACGTGACACCTGTATAACCCCTCCTTTTGAGCAGTGCTTAGCTTAATAGTCTATTCTAGCTCACAGGACTAACCTCTTAAACTTAAGGTTGAATGAGAATATTCATTGAATGATAAAAAAGTAGAGCTGGAAGGGACCTCTGGAGGTCATCTGGTCCAGCCCCCTGCCCAAGGCAGTATCAATCCTTATCCAAACCATCCTATACAAATTGTCTAATAACCCATTAGTGAAACAACAATCAATACTGACAGCCACAGGGCATAACACCCTAACCTGACACAGGCAAAGCAGGGGCTCAATGGCAGCCAATGTCCCATTACTACAAGGACTGTTAAAAATATGCTTGAGAGATCCAAGGAACAAACATGATAGAGGCAAGCAGGCCTGGTCCTACACTGCCTGGCATCTTGCATAGTTGTACCATGTAGCTTGTGAAAAAGCTATTGCAAAACAAGTGTATAAGTTAATTGCCTCAGTGGGTGGACAGTTCTGCTTGGGTGGTACTTTACACACAGTTTGGGCAGATATAGGTCACTGAACAAGGTGCAGGACACACAGAGAATCAGACTCGCTGTCTCTTCAAGCGAGCACACAAGCACCACAGGCGGCTGTCACTTACACTTCTTTTTCTTCCTGCAGTTTTGAAGCCTCCTCCTGAAGCATCTGTAACTGCTGCTGGGCAATGATTAACTCCTGAGAAGTTCTCTCCAGATCCCGCAGCAGCTCCTTATTTGTTAGCTTCAGCTTGGTGTTCTCCACTTTGGTCTCTTGCTTGTCATTGTGTAGCTCCTTACACTGCCCCTCCAACTGAGGGAGGGAAGGGAGGAAAACAAAGAATGTCATCCACTGACTGCACCATTTTACCTTTGTAGCAAAATGACTCTTCAAAGTTAAAGCCTTAGGGCAGTGGTGGCCAACCTTTTTTGGTAAGCTTACCACAAGTAAAGTCAAAAATATAAGGTAGTGCCACTCTAATAATCAGCCACCACCCTCGCCCAGTGCCACCAAATCCTGTCACCATGGAGACAAGGCAACACTGATTTTGGTGGTACCTACTTCCACAGCTCCCAGGGGGCCAGAGCCTCAAACCAGCACGACTCCTCTAGTCCACCCCTAATCTCATTGCTGGTGTTCCCTTTAACTCAGTGACTGGGGCTTGTGAGCCGAAGACAATAGCTAACCATGATGCTTGTGGAACACATACCCTGAGTTAGCCACCACTAACTTAGTGTTTCTATACAGGGGAGCAATTACAAAATAAGCAAGCAAAATAATTTCATGCACAACAGCTATTCTATGCTACCTCCCCAGGTAGACACATCAAGAGCACCAAGGCCAAGCTGATATAGTTTTATTCATCTTCCACAGAGCATACTTGGGAAGGGTGATAAACAGGAAGTAGCTAACTGTAGCACAGAAAAGCTCTGGCACAATGCTTTAACCTGCCACTGACTTGATTAAACAAACAAAACACCTTTGTTTAGTACAAATACTTGCCTGAAACATGCAAGTGTTCTGTTAAAAATTAGGTTCTTGACTACTATTAACACCTTCTCAGTGACATTGAGGGCCTAGACTATCTGCAAGTAGGCTATGGCTCCAGTTGATGGGGACTGGGGCAGAGATCAAAAAGGGTCAATTGTGGCTCCCCAAACCTGAAACTATTTCTGTGATGACCCAGGCCTCAGCTCAGTTTAAATCGCCTCAGGATGGCTCTATACATGATCTATACCTGCCCATGGTTTCACCCACCACTCTACACAGTAGACTAGAAGAGCTTAGAACAGCGGTGGGCAAATTGCAGCCCGCCAGGCCATTCTATCCAGCCCACAGGGCCCCTAAAAAATATAGAAAATTAATATTTATCTGCCCCTGGGCTGCCTGTCATACGGTCCTCGATGGCTTGCCAAAACTCAGGAAGTGGCCCTCCGCCCAAAATAATTGCCGGCCCCTGGCTTAGAACGTTCTGCACCAGCGAGGACTTATTCATACCCAGAGAATCCCAACTGTGCAGGTCAGGACAGTGTGTAGCCCTGCTCTAGCACCAGAGCGAGGCAAAAGGGGAAGAACCGGGTTCTGAAATCAGGGAGAAGAAAGTTGTCAGAAATAAGAAATTCAGACTAACTATAACAGACAACCTGTCAGAAAAGCAATGACCAACATGATTTCCTTCTGTGCGTGGTGACAGGCTCTGAGGATGAGAGGACAGCAGTGGCTGTGATATACCTTGACAATAGCAAGGCTTTTGACAATCTCTCACATTGTCACTAACACTACAGAAAGGATGTAGACAACTCGGAAAGAGTCCAGCAGAGGGCAACAAAAATGGTTAGGGGGTTAGGGCACATGACTTATGAGGAGCGGCTGAGAGAACTGGGCTTCTTTAGTCTGGAGAAGAGAAGACGGAGGGGGATTCAACTACCTGGAGGACTGTTCCAAAGAGGATGGTGCTAGACTATTCTCAGTGGTGGCAGATAACAAAATAGGCAGAAATGGTCTCAAGGTGCAGCAAGGGAAGTTTAGGTTAGATATTAAGAAAAAAAACTCTCTCATGAGGAGCGTTGTAAAACAGTTACCCAGAGGGGTGGTGAAATCTCCATCCTTAGAGTTTTTTAAGATGCAGGTAGACAAAGCCTTGGCTGGGATGATCAAGTTGGGGAGGGTCCTGCTTTGAGCAGAGGGTTGGACTACAGGACCTCCTGAAGTCCCTTCCAACACTAATTTTCTATGATTCTAAGATAAGGAAATACAGACTAGACAAAAGTACTGTAAGACAGATAAATAACTGTTGGATCACCATGCTCAACAAGTAGCCATGAATGTCTCAATGTCTAGTCAAGAGGAAGTATCAAATGGGGCTCCCCAGGGGTCTTTCCTGAGTCCAGTATTGTTCCCTATCTTCATTAATGATTTGGATGATGGGATTGTGTGCACGCTTAGGAAGTTTGAGGAGGACATCAAGTTGGGTAGAGTTGCAGACATTTTGGAGGGTAGGGCTAGTATCCAGAAAGACCTGGACAGACTGGAGAAATGGTCTGCAAGGACTTAGTGGCTGTGTTAGACCATAATCTGAATACGATGAGCCAAGAGTGTGCTCTTGCTGCAAAAAGCAAAAAACCCCAACAACAACAAAAACCCAGCATACTGTGCTATATTAACAGGAGTGTCACTTGCAAATCAAGGAAAATGATTCTTCCACTCTACTCAGCACTGGTGAGGCTTCACATAAAGTACTGTGTCCAGTTTTGGGCCCCACACTTCAAGAAAGATGTGGACAGATTGGAAAGAATCCAGTGCAGAGGAGCAAAAGTGATTAGGGACCTGGTTAGCAAGATTTATGAGAAAAGGCTGAAAGAATTAGGATTATTTAGTTTAGAGAAGAACAGACTGAGAGGTAATTGGGTAACAGTTTTCAAATACCTGCAGAGTGATTACAGAAAGGATGGACACAGGCCTAAGGGACAAGACTAGGAGCAATGGCCTCAAGCTTCAGGAGGGAAAATTAAAACTGGAAGCTAAAAGAAACTTTGACTATGAAGGCGGTCATGCACTGGAACAAGCTATCTAGAGAAATTATGGAAAAACTATTCTTACAAGTTTTCAAAAGCAAGTTAGACAGACACTTGGCTGGGATGGTTCAGTCAGGGATGATCCTGCCTTGAGTAGAAGGCTGGACTAGATGACCTCATAAGGTCCATTCCAGCTTTATTTTCCTATGATCCTATGAAAGGATACCCAGAAATACATAAAAACTACTTCTATTTTTCCCCAAACATTTTTTAAAGTATGTTAAGTGCATTGGGAGTTTTAAAATGATACCAGTTAAGTCCCTGAGACAGACAGACACAAGGAATGAAAAAACCCAGAACACAAATATTGCCTGTCACTGAGCTTTTGTGCTCCTGGGAGGCAGGAACTGACTGCATTGAGTACAGGCAGGTCTCCTTACCCAGCTCTGTCAATCTACCCCTCAGCCCTGAGCACCCTTAATGTTCTAGTTCTGGGTCTGTAGCATGTAAAATACTCAACCATGTTTTTTCAGCTTGTTCACAAACAGTTCACTAGGGTTATTTGATGTCTGATGTCCAAGTGCCAAGCTGTGTTCATTAGTGCTGACCAGTGGCATAAAAGTCAAACAAGGTATTAGAGTCCTCCACTGAGGAAAACGAAAAAAGAACAAAAAGAACAGCTTCAATCCAATGGTGTTTTACATTTCCAAGGGGAGGAGCAGAAAGGGAAAAGGCTGCAAATTATCACAATAAGTGAATTTTAAGAGCATGTAATCTGTTTTTTCCTGGGGATGTGCTCACTGCAAAGTGTTCACCCAGAAAAATGAGCTTGTCTAAGATTTATAGTCTGGGTGAAGACCTGAGGTCTGATCTTCCCTTCATGTCATATGATGTTAACTGTTCATGTGGTCCTGTTTGTGCGAGATGCAGGCCAAGGCTCCAATCCATTATTTTTTTCTGTTTCACAGCTCTGGTAAGAAGCCACAGGGATGTTCCCTTGCTGTGATAAGTAGGTTCCTGCTCTTTACAAAATGTACCAGCAGCCTGGCTTTTAGAAGGGCTGAGCACCTCACAAATCCAGCTGAGTTGAGTGGGAACTGAGGCTGTGCAGACCCTCTGAAAAAAAAATCATACCCTATACATTGCAGATGCTGGCTTATCATTTTCTATGTTAGGGTCTGTAAACTGCCCATCACTGGAGGCAGTCTGCAATGCCATCTTTGGCATCAGTAATTGCATCTGTTTTACAAACCTGTTTGTAGAATGTAGCTGTATGCTTGTAAGGCTTGTGTTATTGTTAAGTATATGGAGCAGAACTGTGCCTATAGACAGTAGTTGATGAAGGGGAGCTCAACAACTGTTCATCCCTGGAGTCCCACTCTAGTCCTAGAAGTGGAACTGAAGTGGTACGTTAGCCCTGACATTCACCTCTACACAGAGGCAGATTTCACCCAACAGGGACACGAGTATAAGTAAAGCAACTTTGCTGCTACACCTGAGTGAACACTCACAATGTTTTATCAGATTCCCCCATGCTTTGCTTGTGACCTAAATCACAATCTGAACTGGCTACACATTCAGGAGGGGAATGGATATGCATTAATCACTATGTCATCAACTGTGCAACCACACACAATAGAAAGATGCGTCATTATGAGGGGAAGGAAGGGGGGACACCTACAATTTGCTGCTGATTAGGAATAGCATTGCTAAATTATATTAAAAAATCCTACATTTACTGAAAAATTTAGGATGCAAAGTAAATACCACAAAAAGATGCATGTCCAACAGCAATGATACTTCACACTAGTAATATTAATTCATGTGCATGGATCATCCTGCATACATGATAGTTTACAGGCAATAAAGGCAGTGATGCCTAGAATTAAAGTTGTCCAGTGATTTTGATTATAAGCCTTCTGTTATTACTCGCGTATACTTTAAATATGGAAGAAGGTTAATGTTGCTGGTGGAACTTTTTTCATTTCCTTAAAGTTTATTTTAATTATGCAATATCAGCTCTGTATTAAAGTACAGTGATTGGCAGGGGCTTTTGGCATTCAGTTTCCATGTTTAAACATCAGCTTATTGATCGTTAATACTGCCAGCATGCAAATGTGCCCAACCTAGCTCTAACAATCACACTCTCATTGAGGTGAAAGGGATGGAGACAATTTTGTGTCAGCTTAGCTTCAGAGAGATAGATGGCCTGATTCTGGTGGTTTTTGATGGCTTGGCACCACTGAAGAGTTGCAGAGCAGCAATAAACCAGTTTAATTTTCTGGGTAAAACTGGAGT